CAGCCAGGGACCATGAGCAATCTCCCCACCATCCGGCTGCACGTGGCGACAAAATCTGAATCCTGCGCGAGCACCCCGCGATCGCCGCGCAGTGGCATGTTGAAGAAATGGCGGGTGAGTGAGCAGATCGGTCCGCTGTGCGCTCACCCACTGCCCATACCAAAAGCAAATGCAAACAAAATACGAGTGCACACATCATACACAACACTGGCCAGCCTGCAGTCATCTTGCACTGGTGCTTCAAGAATGGTGTCGAGAGGTGGCCCGACGTGCACCAGAGATTTCACAACGGAGCCTGCACGCTTGGGGACAAGGTCTGACTTGAGCTGCCTGGGTGGGTTCGGGGGGGTCTGGGCAAGGCCCTCCCCCTCCTCCTCCTCCTCCTCCTCCTCCTCCTCCTCCTCCTCCTCCTCCTCCTCCTCCTCCTCCTCCTCCTCCTCCTCCTCCTCCTCCGCCCTTTCCTGGCTGGTCTGGGGGGGCGGGTCTGAAGTTGCTCGTCCGGGAGAGCTGTGACCCCCCCACCGTATCATGAAATCTGGCGGTCACTATGCCGCCGCCTGGCGCACTATGGCGCACCTGGCACGGGCGCAACTGGCGCGCCAGGCGCACTATCGCGCTGGCGAACCTCTCGCCGCCTGGCGCACTATGCGCACGTCGCGCACGTGGCGCACCTGGCACGGGCGCAGCTGGCGCACCAGGCGCCCCTGGCACGCTGGGGGCCCTGAGCCACCTGGTGCATCTGGTGCGCATGGCACACCTGGCGCGCGTAGCGAACCTCGCAAACGTCGCGCACCTGGCTTCTGTAGTGGTTCCAGATGGCTCTACATCCGATGGCGACCTCTGCCCATGGCAAGTCTCATGTGCTACTTCATGGGTGGGAGTAGGAGAAGCAACGATTGGCGCTCCGATCGGGAAACTGATCACTGCTCCCCACCCTCCCTCACCCGACCGAAGCCAACCCAGACCCATGAGAGCACCCGTGACAAACTCCCCATCAACATCCATGTCAACAAAACTATACAAAATACACTTTCCCTCCAAATGTGGAGCATGCGCGGGCGCCCCGCGACCCCTTTACTTCTGAATGTTCCCAACCATTTTGAGGTGTTGGGCCATCGTTTTGAAGAGACAGCGACCCGCATCACCTCCTCCCGTCCTCCCCCTCCCCATCCTCCCACCCCTCCCTCTGCCCTCCGCACCAGTCAACAATTATAGGCACACTCCTCACACGCTTCGTGGCCCCATAAGGAGCTCCACCGAGGGCCCCGGTGGCTGCGCTCGCATGGCACCACCGCGCCCATGTCGGTACAACCCTCACACGTGCCGTGGCCCTATAGGGAGCTCCACCGAGGGCCCCAGTGGCTGCGCCCGCATAGCACCAACGCACAAATTTCGGCTCACCCCTCACACGATTCGTGGCCCCATAAGGAGATCCACAGAAGGCCCCAGTGACTGCGCTCGCATGGCACCACCGCACCCATTTCGGCACTCCTCACACGGTTCGTAGCACCCTTGGGAGCCCCGCCGAAGGCTTCTGTGTCTGCGCTCGCATGGCACCACCGCACACATGTCGGCGCACACCACACGCTTCGTGGCCATATAGGGAGCTCCACCGAAGGCCCCAGTGGCTGCGCCAGCATGGCACCACAGGCACAATTTTCGGCACACCCATCACACGATTCGTGGCCCCATGGGGAGCTCCACCGAGGGCCCCAGTGGCTGCGCTCGCATGGCACCACCGCACTCATTTCGGCACCCCTCACACGTTTCGTGACCCCATAAGGAGCTCCACCGAAGGCCCCAGTGGCTGCGTTCGCATGGAACCACAGCGCCCAATCCTGCACACCCCTCACACGTGTCGTGGCCCCATGGGGAGCTCCACCGAAGGCCCCAGTGGCTGCGCTTGCATGGCACCACCGCGCCCATGTCGGTACACCCTTCACACGCTTCAAGGCTTCATAGGGAGCTCCACCGAGGGCCCTAATGGCTGCGCTTGCATGGCACCACCGCGCCCATTTCGGTACACCCTTCACACGTTTCTTGATCCCATAGGGAGCTCCACCGAAGGCCCCAGTGGCTGCGCTCGCATGGCACCACTGCACCTACTTCGGCACACCGCTCACACGTTTTGTGACCTCATAGGGAGCTCCACCGAATGCCCGAATGGCTGCGTTCGCATGGCACCACCGCGCCTACTTCGGCACACCCCTCACACGATTCGTGGCCCCATAGGGAGCCCCACCGAAAGCCCCAGTGAATGCGCTCGCATTGCGCCACCGCACCCATTTTGGCACACCCCTCACACGCGTTCGCATGCGCCCACTGCGCCCATGTCGATACATCAGTCACGCGCTTCGTGGCCCCATAGGAGCTCCACCGAAGACGATACTCACAACTGCCCTACTCACAACTGCAGATGGTTGGGTCCTTCGCCAGGGTAATTGAAAAGGACGTCGGGGGGGCCCTCCTATTGCTTGCTGTTCGTCAGCTTCCATCCGTGCCGAGGAAGCAATACAAAATTCACGTTGCCTCCGAATCTGGAACATGCGCGGGCGCCCCGCAACCACTTTGCATTGGTCCTTGACAGGAGCGACAGGGGTGCTGACATATTGCTTGATGCGCGCAGGTCAACCACCACTGTCAACAAACAGTACAAAGTATACGTAGCCTCCAAATCTGGAGCATGCGCGGGCGCCCCGCGACCACGTTGCATTGGTTTTTCATAGGGTTCTGTGGGTATGTTTGTGTTGGGAGTGCGGGTGGGAGTGAGCGAGCTGGTCTGCGCCTTGTAGGCAGGCGGTGGCTTGACCCCGAACCCTACCTACTACCCTCGGTCTGTCAGGAGGGATTCGCCGCGGGTCGCACCAAGGTGGCTCCCGCTGATGGCCCAACTTAGCCTCCAAGATGGCACCAGATCTCCCAAGATGACCGGCGCCCAGGGAAAGGGCTGCAGCAACAGGAGGAGGAAGAGGAGGAGGAAGAGGAGGAGGAGGAGGAGGAGGGGGAGGGGGAGGGGGAGGCGGAGGAGGGGGGGGCGGAGGACGGGGAGGCGGAGGAGGAGGAGGAGGAGGAGAAGGACGAGGAGGAGGAGGAGGAGAAGGAGAAAAGGCTTTCAACATGCCCCCAAGAGGCCCCGAGGCCGCCACAGGGACGTCCCGAGGTGGGCACGGCAGGGCCCCCCCGGAGGCCGCGAGGGACCCCCCCAACAAAGGCCTCCCGTCGCGGCTTCTGCGACGCCGCGAGGAGGAGGTCTGGATCCTCCTGCCTACAGGGCAGTTTTTTAAACATGGGTTATTTTTACAAACAAAAAACGTTGTTTTGTTTAATGCATGCTTAATGTATGAATAAATGTATGCATGAACTCATCGTTGTTTTATATACTAAATCCCTGCACTTGTAATACATGATCCGCACGCGGAGCATGTATTAAAAACTTACAAACGGCACTGTACCTCGCGGCTGGCTCAGGCTGCTGCGGACCCAAGCGGGGCGCCACGGCCAGGGCAGCGGGGGGGGGGGGGAAAGGGATGCGGGGGGGCAGCGCACCAAGAGCACGAGGGAGGCCTGCGCCCGCACAACGGCACACGCTCTCGAGGCCTCCCCCCACCTCCCCTCCGCAGATACGCGGTGCCCCTGCCCCCCCGGGTCGAATCGACGCTGGGGCATCGGCCACCCACGCTGGGGATCGCCTGGCTGCAGACTGGCCTGCAGGGGCAGGGTTCACAGGTGGTTGCCTACGAGCAGCGAGGGTGGGGTAGATCGATCCCCAGACATACGATGCCCTTTTTTCCAACCATCCTGTGGTGTTGGGTCCTCGTTTTGAGGAGACAGCGCCCCGCGTTCCTCATTCAGTCCTTTCCTTTCCTCCCTTTCCTCCCTTCCTTCCTTCCTCCTCCTCCTCCCTTCTCCCCCTCCTTGCCTCTGCCCACCGCATGTCCATTTCGGCACACCACCCCTCACACGCTTCGTGGCCCCACAGGGAGCTCCACCGAAGGCCCCAGTGGCCGCGTCCACATGCGCCCTCCCCGCCCACCGCATGCCCATTTCGGCACACTCCTCACACGCTTCGTGGCCCCATAGGGAGCTCCACCGAAGCCCCAGCGGCCGCGTCCACATGCGCCCCCCCCGCCCACCGCATGCCTAATTCGGCACACCCTTCACACGCTTCGTGGCCCCCTGGGAGCTCCACCGAAGGCCCCAGTGGCCGCGTCCGCATGCGGCCTCCCCGCCCACCCCATGCCTATTTCGGCACACCCCTCGCACGCTTCGTGGCCCCATAGGGAGCTCCACCGAAGGCTCCAGTGGAAGGTTCGCGTGACACCACCGCGCCCAATCCGGCACAGCCCTCACTCTGTTCGCGGCCCCATAGAGATTTCCGCCGAAGGCTCCAGTGGGAGGGTTCGCATGGCAACACCGCACCCAATTCGATACACCCCCTCACACGTCTCGTGGCCCCAGAGGATGCTCCACCGAAGGCTCCAGTGGGAGGGTTCGCATTGCATCGCCGCGCCCAATTCGGCACGTCCCTCACACGGTTCGGAGCTCCACCGAAAGCCGTACCCACAATGCGGTACTCGCAGCTGCATATGGTTGGGTCTTTCGTCAGGCTAATTTCAATACGGGGTCCCGAAGTCTCAACCCTTTCCCCAGGGCCAGTTTTCCGTCCCGAGTCGTCTATCGACGGTCGAAAACTGCCCGACACCTCCCGTCGTGATTGCTCCACGACGCGAGCACGTGTGGCTCCCCCTCCCTCCCCCCTCAGGCGCGACTGGATCCAACCGCAGCGGCGGGCCCAACGTGGACGCCCATAGGGGGCCACTTGCGAACCCTACCCCTACCCCCCACGATTTCTGAGGGGGAGGGTGGGGTTCACTTCGCTCGGGAGCTCTTGGATTAAGTGAACCCCACCCTCCCCCTCAGAAATCGTGAGGGGTAGGGGTAGGGTTCGCAAATGCCCCCCTAGCCCAGGGTAGGGCGGGCGAAGAGGGGGGGAGGCGAGCTTGTAGTGCTTGAGGGCGTAGAGGCCGATCAGGGTGCAGGTGCGCCCGAGGCCCGCCTCGCGATGGGGCGCGTCGTCGTCGGTCGTTGCGCGCGCGGGGGGGGGCGGGGGAAGCCAGGGGAGGAGGAGGAGGAGGAGGAGGAGGAGGAGGAGGAGGAGGAGGAGGAGGAGGAGGAGGAGGAGCAGGAGGAGGAGGAGGAAGTGGTGGCCCCTTTCTCTTGTTGATGATTCTCAGGTCATGTGTTAGCCCCAATGTGTCTTTGCCCAGGCCGGCCTGTGTCGGCCATCGTTGCACCACCTTCGTCGTATTGAGGGGCCTCGGTGGACCAGCACGCGTTGGCGCCAACTCACGTTCTTAGGATCATGGATCTTGAGGAGGAGGAGGAGGAGGAGGAGGAGGAGGACCAGCGTAAACCCGAGACGAAAGAACGATGCTGCGATGAACTCTCCATCCAGGTTCCCTCTGCACAGGTCCCTGCTGGAATATATCCCCGCTGCGGGAAGTGTCCCATCCACAATTCCTGGAACTTGTGCTCCACGAATCAACGTGACAGTTGCGCCCCGACAGTCCTAATCGTGCTAGAACGCCGTTCCTGGGACTTCCTCACTGACAAATCAACATGATTATTGCGTCCTACCAATCCTAAAACGCCCCAGAACATCACACGGGTGACTTCAAACGTACAAATCAATGAAACAAACTGCTGCAAGCTTTAAAACAAACGTGTGCGGCGCTCAGGCGAGAGCCACATGTTGAACACCACCTGCCCCCTGCTCAAGTTTCAGGATTTGAACTGGTTAAGAAGTCTCAGGCGAAACGACCAGCCCACCCTACAAACGCGTCTGGGGGTGCGACAGGGACGAGCTGCTTATAATAAAGAGGGATGAAAGATGAGAAGTAGGAGGCACAGAAGCAGCAGAGAGGAAGAGGGAAAGGCGAGGAGGAAAAGGAGGGAGAAAGGATAATAAGGAGGAGAGAATGAGCGAAGAGGACAAGAAGGAGGAGGAGGAGGGCGAGGAGGAGGAAGGGGAGGATGACGGAGAAGTGAGGAGGAAGGAGGGAGGCAGAAGGAGGCAGGAGGGAGGTTTCTGGGAGCTCTCAAGGGCGGAGGGGTGCGTGAGCGACACCACTTGTGAAGCGAGTCAATACTATGAACTCAGCCCGACTTCAAACCCTAGGCCATCGGCCCGAGAGAATCCTATCTGAATAGTTGGCTCGACTGGGAGTAGTGGCCCTGGGACATGCGCCCAAGATTCTTAAGCATCTGACTAGCCGAGTGCCCACACGGACAGCAACACCAATTGTTGAGCCCTCAGCGTAGACACACCCGATGACTGTGTGCACCCAGCCCCCCGCTGTGCAGCTATTCCCGGCTGGCAAACCGACTAGCACTCCATCGATACGACCTGAAGTGAAGCACGCAGTACCACGCCACAGGGCAGGACGAGCGCGGATGGCGGAGCTGCGACGCTGAATTGAACGGCGGCCGCGTTCCGCGAAACTGCGACTATGTGTGAACAGTTGCACGGAGGACGGGGGGAGGCGGAGGCGGCATCTCAGATTTCCCTGAGGCCCCGGGCCATCGAGCTCCTCCTTCCCCATGAAACCGACCCTGGAGAGCGGGAGCCTCTTCCTCTTCCTTCTCCTCCTTCTCCTCCTCATCCTCCTCCTCCTCCTCCTCCTCCTCCTCCTCCTCGTGTTCTTCCTCCTCCTCCTCCTCCTTCTCGCGTTCCTCCTCCTCCTCCTCCTCCTCCTCCTCCTCCTCCTCCTCCTCCTCCTCCTCCTCCTCCTCCTCCCCTTCCCTCAGGAACCGGGCACCAAAAAACTGCATGAGCATCAACTTCCTGGGGGGTCCGCGCGGATGTCTTGGCTCCGCGCTGACCCCCTCGGCGCCGCCCAGAGGGGACGGGCGAAGATGCCGGAGATCTGCGTGGACCTCCGAGAGTTTACGCTTGTGCCGTTCTCTCGCCCTCGACCAGGAAGTCCCTGCAC